GCAAAGGCCCATAGTTGCACTGGTCTGATTTACAGAATTCAGCTTTTCTTTATGAAAATGGAATTCTGCTTTATTTTGGTAAAGACCATAGAGAGCCATGCTTATTTGTCTTTGGGATGGGTATATAATAACTTCATAGATAGATCTTTAGACAGACACTCTACTACACCTTGACAAGCCAGACTCTCTGGCTCTTGCTGAGAACTATTTTTTTTTTCATTCTGCTGCAGAATAACTACTCATCAGATACATACCTTGGCCCTTGTAGTTAACTGTTGTTGCTGTTGTTGTTGTTGTTGTCATTGTTCTACAGACATTATTGTAAAAACTCAATAAAATTTAATTAGAAAAAAGAAATAATAATAATAATAATAATAATAATAATAATAATAATAAATGAAGTGTAAAAAAGCAAACTATAAAAGTGATTTAATATATCTCTGAACAAAAAAAGTCATTGATATCCTGCTGCTTGGATATCATTTCCTCTCCACATGTGCACATGCTGTGCCTTCAATTATTTGAGCAATATCTAGACTAAGTGCCTACATATATATTCCTTTTAAAAAGAAAGAGAATAACTTCAGTAACATCAAACACGAGCATTTTTTCTGAGCTCAGACAGGCATGTATTATACCTGGTGAATAGAGACAAGGAAATATGACCATTTCATTTTTGCACACTTTCAATTTTTCTTCTCCTATGTTCAGTTTTTTTAAAAATCGCAAGTTCCTTTGCCCTGGATATCAAGACTGGATATTTGCAATTTTGATCAATACTTCAAACAAACAAAATAACTGAAATGTAATTTTCCCCATTTGCACCCATCCAATTCAGTATAAGTAACTATTCCCAGAATAAAGAGTACTATGACTAAGATGCTGCTTCAGGAAATGTATCGTAAAATTCTATCATGGTGAGACAAAGATGCATTTCCTCCTTCCCACAAAACATAATAATAATAATAATAATAATAATAATAATAATAATAATAATAATAATAATTTTTATTTATAGCCCACCTCTCTGCCCAACAATTGAGGTGGGTTACAACAATTAAAAACAACAATGCAAAAACAACCCCACCCTAAATCCCAGCCCCTTAAAACAGTATTAAACAAGAAAAAAAGTTAAAACAATTTAGCAATTGAATAAAAACAATACAAATCTAACACAAATATTGCACACAGAAGGCCAGTTAGATAACAGACAAAATTTGTCTCCCAGGGCAGAAATGTTCCGGGGGATGTTATTCTGGGAAGGGGGATGTTATTCTGGGAAGTGATCTGTCTTCACCGCCTTCTTGAAGGCGGTAAGCATGGAAATAAGACGGATCTCGTCCGGCAGGCCATTCCATAGCCTGGGGGCTGTAGCAGAAAAGGCCCTCTGGGAGGTTTGGGACAGCCTGGTCTTTATTGACTGCAGCAGGTTCCTCCCAGAGGACCGAAGGGCACGGGGAGGATCATATGGG